TGTCAGGGATGGTGACTCCACTGCTTCCCTGGACAGCCTTCCAATGCTTGACCGCTCTTTCCATGTAATAATTCTTCTTAATGCCTAGCCTGAACCTCCTCTGGTGCAACTTGAGGCTGTTTCCTCTTCTTCTGTCAGTAGTTATTCTGAAGAAGAGATCGACACCTGCCTCACTACAACCTCCTTTCAGGTAGTTGTAGACAGCCRTAAGGTCTCCCTTGAGTCTTCTCCAGACTAAATAATCCCAGCTCCCACAGTGGCTCCATGTAWGGTCTGTGCTCCAGCCCCTTCACTAGCTTTGTTGCCCTTCTTTGGACACGTTCCAGTTCCTCAATGTCTTTCTGTTGAGAGGGGCCCAAAAGTGAACATAGTATTTGAGGTATGTCACAAATATCCGATGGGAGTTTCTTTTTGACCTCTGGCTGACCGAGCACAAATCACTGCCCGCTTCAGGAATGGGACTGGTGATTTTTGTGGAGAGTCTGCAGCATGGCTGCTTCTTAGCCAAGAAAATCCTTCCCCCCATCAAAGTTGGATTGGTTGGTGCTTGTCACATGGGGAACATGCAGGATAGGACTGTGGGCAGTGACACCTTGCAATAGAAGAGCTGTGTGAGGTAGAAAGAGCTGCGTTTCTGGCACTCGACTGTCACGTTCATTAGTTACAGCCCCCCAAAAAGCCTGTGAGGGAATGACATGGTAAGCGGCTTCAGAAAAGAGTTTCCAGTCTGTCGATAAGCTTTGAGCTCTGAGCCGGAAGGAGCTACTTATAACTGACAGAGGGCTCTTTGTTTGCTGTGTGGTGTTTGGAAGTTAAGCAAGATTGAGGAGCAAATATTGATCCAGAGATACCAGCTGCCACTCTCCTCTGGCCAGTTCATCTCATCCCAGGTAGAAAACAGCATATTGCAACATAGGCATAACCTGACACTGAGTATTTCTTGTAAAGAGCAGCAAAATGGGTTTGTGGCATTGTCTGGGAATAAGCTAAGCACGGTGACTCAGGAGTTGGAAAACGGCCTCAAGAGTGGTCCAAGTGTTCAAGCAAGGGATAAAAGCAGACTTCTGGAAAGAGTGCCACCGCTCTTCAGGTATTGGAGATGGTATCTGGGTCTTGGGAACCATGAAGATGTACAGTTGGTTCCAGTCTACCATCGGTCATGGACATGCTTGTAGATCTGGCTTTCGCATGGTGCAGCTTTACAGCTTCTGCAAGATCCACCTCAAATGGATTCCTCTGAAGAGGAAGCGAAAGTCCCTCTTCCAGGAGACCCCTGGGGTCAGGGAGGAGCTTTTTCCCCCAGATGCTTACATTAAATAGGTAAGTCAGTTCTGCAGAAGGCCCCTGACTTCCCCCTGCCCTTTCTGGCACCCACCATCATCTTCTCCCACAGGCTGACATGGACACTTGCCAGATAGGAGTTTGGTGCTGCTTCCCATCTCAGCTATAGACGGAGGAGCAGGGAAGAAGTTCTAGAAAAATAGGTTCCCATGAAGCTCCAGATAGTCTACTCCACCTTGCTGTGACATGACCTCTGTGGCCAGAACAGGAAGAAAAAGTGAGGACTAAGCCTATTTTCACGGTTGACCAAGTTAGTATATTTGCCACCAGCAGACTCCAGTCTTCTCTGAGTCACAACCTAGAAATTCCCATTTCTGAGGGGAATCCAGATGTATGGATGAGGCCAGTGTCCTGGTGGATGTGTATTACCCTCTGCCAACTCAGTGTGGGGTTTTTTTTTGTTTTTTTTTTGCTTTCTTGCTTGTTTCTTCCCCTTCCACCTATTTTTTTAAGTGTTATTCCCTTAGTATCTTGAGGTGAGCAGGGTGTCTGTGCAAGCACCAGCCTGGTGACCCCTGGAAACAGCAGCACCATCTCCAAATGCTTTTGTTGATAGATAGGCACATCTACAATGAACTAACTGCTCCAAAGAGCCAGGTGAGATGCCTGTGTTTGTGTGGCATCTTGATCACAGCTTTTCTTCTCCCTGGTTAAGGTTGAGCAGAGAGCTGCACCATAGGCTTAGTGCCAGCCTTTGGCTTTAGGCTGAGATCTGCTATGGAGAACAGCCAACACTGAGCCATCTCTCAGATGGCTGCGCTGGCTCTAACTTCATCCCAGCCTAACCACAATTATGTTCCTTCCTCAGGCTGTAACTAAAACCAGCTAAAGCCAAACAAATCCAGCCTTGTTCCAACCACAAAACCACAGAGTACACATGTGGATTCACGGTAATAAGCTTTGCACTGGGAAAAGTAGGAATAAGTGGTATTACTTCACCTTCAATTTTATATAACGGGGCCGAGCCCTGTTTTTTTCATAGAGGTCAAATGTGTTTATGCCTCACCATTGGCCTGTGGTTGGTCAGAGGGGTGAGTTAATTTGTATTTCTTCATCATTCATTTAATTTTTAGCAGCATCCACTTTCTGAAAACCGGGCAACCAGGATCTGTAATGTTGCAACACAACGGATTTGTAATGTGCAAAAACACTGCGACTTGCTGCAGGAAGATGCGCTGTAGAAAACTTAAGACAACATAAATAACAAGACCAAAGTCCTTAAGAGGCACTGGCCTAGCTCCTTTCTTTATGATAATGGTGCTCCTGCTTCCATAAGCCAGAGTTTTGACTTGCTAAAATCCAAGACAACAAGAATTTCCAGCTTCAGTAAGAAAAAAGAGTTAAAAGAAAAGCATGTGAAACTACTCATTACAGCACTGCCATACCCTCAGCAAATTTCCATGCTTCCTTACGTGTCCTTCCATTTCATCTCTCAGGTGGCAAATAACTTTTCTGCTGTGAGTAGTGTTGTAACCACATATTTTACGGAGTCCAAATCTCCAAGGCTCCCTTGGGACACTTATTAGAAGAGGCATCTTAGAAGAAACCAACGAAGAACTGTGGAAGAAAATTGGAGGCTGGCTTCCCGTGAGTCCTTGTCTTGCTTGTTCCCGTGAATGGAGGTGTTGTTAAGGCTATCCTGAATTGTGCAAGGATTGATGATACCTCCAGGAAGTTGGGGATTGTGAGATCTTCAGGAAGCTCGGTGGGATTTGCCTGTCTCAATCGAGGAAGGCTCAGAAGGCCACATCTTTCCAAAGGCTGGCCTAAAACTACTCCTGCTTCAGTAAATACATATGGGAGGGTGGCATTGCCTAGTGGGAGGAGAAGACAGTCCCTGCAGAGTGTAGAGTGTATACCCAGTAGAGTGTATTTGGAGACACTCAAAACATGAGAAGTGCTAATTTCGTAGGAAAGCAGGGCATGAAGGAGCAAGGCTGGAACTACCCATGCTGACAGAAGGCTAATGCTAAAGGTTCAGTGCTCTGGCAGGTAACAAACGGTACCTGGCCACCACCAACCACTAGCAGGTTTCTGTGCCAGCTGCAGGAGGGAGGAGAGCTAACCCAGGATGCTTCCAGCCAGCACCAGCTGAGGAACATGGACAGACTGTAGATAAGCCCATGTTGAGAGGCTGCAAGTAGTCGTAGAGAGAAGGGCTAAGTAGGAGATCCAGAACAAATACAGGTTGGTGATCAAGCCTGGGAGCTGGGCTTTACCACCGGGTTTCCCTCAGTTGAACAGGGGCTGAGTATGCAGCACGGTGTCTGCTGCCTCTGGTGACTCATAAGAGCTTCAAAGCAGTCCTTCCACCAGCTACTCCAGCTGTGTCAACTGTGCATAGCYCCACAGCTCATGAGTCAACCTGGCCTGTGTGCTCGGAGACAGTCACACACCATGGACAAGAGCTCTTGAGGCATTCTTGATGCCTGGTAGCTCCTGAACTGCTTTGCTGCAGAGGAGGCCAAGGCATGGATTTGACAGGAGACACCAAAAGCCATCTCCTGACCTGAGGATCCCAGGCTGAGCACAGCCTCCARTTGTAGTAGGGCAGGAAAACCAGCAACCTCATGAGTCTCTCACAGTGACATCCTGAAATTGGTGGCTGCTTGTTGGTCAGCCTAGTGAATGGCCCTGCTAGTGAATGCTCTTGGTGCCAGTGCCTACCTGCTTTGCAGGACAGCACTGCCCTGTAACTGTGTTGGGGGTATGGGCCAAGGATGTCAACTCTGGCAGGTGGTGGTCAGGGATGCTGCTGGGGCTTGTGGACTAGCTGTTGTGGCCCAGGAACCCCCATTTCTCATGTGTGTGAGTCCAGAGTTTGTTTTGCAGCTCACACTGCAGGTTGGGGCATCAAGCCTGCAGAAACATCATCGAGATAGCTCTTAGAAAAGCCTAGGCATGACTCTCTATTTCTGGATGCAGAGAGAGAAACTAGGTGTGACTGCAACCACATTGAGAAGGTTTTCGGGGTAAGAGGGAGAGGAGTACCTATGGGGGGAGAAGGAGGAAACCACTAATTCCAGTATTTCACCACAAATGGTGACAACACTTTAGYAGCATGTTGATTCCTTCTGGATGCCAGGTGGCAGCTAGTGACCTGGTAGCTGTTGCTGTCTTCTCCTGGCACGCTGCAAGCTGCTTGCCAGGCTGCCAGTAAAGCGTGTTTACTGCCTTTGCWCTGCGTCTCCTTTGCCAGAGCAGTGCAAGGGAGAAGAAGTCCGTGCTCAGAGYGCTGCAAGCCAGCAGGTGACGAGCACAATAGTTACTGGCAAAGGCACAAAATTCAGGGCTGGGTCATGTCTCAGTAGGGACTTTTGGACCAGGCTGTGCAAGGCAGGGGGTAGCTGGAACAAAGTAAATAGCCCCTCCCATGGCATTTTAGCCGGTGGGGGGAATTCAAATGTCACAAATTGGGAATTTTCCACTTGAAGCCCCTTGGAGAAACAAAACGCTCTTTGCCTTGCTCTAACTCCCACCTGCGATGGGATTCAGTGCCAAAGTGAAAGGCTTCTTAAAAAAAAAAGGGCTGATCCAGGAAGGGGGGCGACCCAGGAGCAATTGAGTAACAAGGAAGGACAAACAGTGTTAGGTCACTGCTTTTGCAAACACAGCCAGGGCTCTTTTTCTATAAAAGGGGAAGAAAGTGGTTTCAGAGCCATCACAGACTTGGAGGGGATAGTCTGTGACCAAGGCTGCTCCATTCCCCTCCTGTGCCTCCGACTCCCTGGTCAAGTATGAGACTTGTCCTCTCTACCGTGCTGTCCTTTGGGATAGTGGGTAAGTGTCTGCTGAAGGCAGTTTGGGGGATCACAGGAGGCAAAAGCTCTCAGGACTCCAGGCTTTACCCTCTAGACCAGGGTGTTTCATAGAAGAAACTGCCGAGAGACAGCAAAAGCAGAACAAAAAGCCAAAGGGAATCTGCCAGCCTCCTGCTTTGGTGGACATGGCTGGGGATCTCTCCGTGAAGATGATGTTTTTAACCTTAACAGCAGTGGTTTTCTCACCGTGCTCAGCAGGGCTCCAAGTGCAGCCCATGGCTAGGGGAAGGTGTGCGGCTGTCCTCAGTGAGTGGCCAAGTGAGGAGGGCTGCTCGCCAGCCTCAACCCCGGCTGCAGAAGCTGGAGGGAAGGGAGAGCTTGTGATAGGGGCAGCACTCACACTGCTGTGTTACCTGTGCTGCAAAGGGCTGGGAGAAAAGTCCCCCTGGCCAGCTGCTGCTCTGTCAGGAAAGGTGTTCAGTGAGTGGGAGAGAAACTAGGAGGCCTCTCTGCTGAGTCCTGCGTGTGTRTTGGGTTAAACTTCAAAGCAGTAACAGGAGCTTAAAGAGTGCTCAAATGAAGGCCTCTGTGGGGCACCTCTGCATGCTCGGATGCCTTGTGCAGAAGGTAGCAGGCTCCCTTCACGCTGCCTTGTGCAKAAGGTGGCATGGCTGCTGCAATGCGCTTACATCTCCGCTGGTTCCTGGGGTGCTSCTCCATCTCGCCACCTCCTGCTGGTGCACCCTTGGCTCTCTGAGACCTTCACAGCTCTAAGAGGGGAGACTCACGTCCTACCTTGCACCCGTGGCTTGTCATGTTTCTGGTCCTGTTCCACCATCTCTTTTGCCAGTCTTGGCAAGCTCCCAGACCGCCTTTAGTAAGTGGAGCTCTGTCCTGCTGCTGTCACTGCACTTTGCTGGGTCTCCCATGTGTTTTTATGTCCACATTGTGCTGCTGCAGGCCTGCCTTTGTTTGAAGCATATATTTCAGTCTTCTCTCTGTGTTCATGGTTTTGTGAGGTAATGGTCAGGTAGCCACGTCAAGCATGTTGCTGCTCTCCTCCCTGCCTAGAAAGTCAACATGTAGGAGTTGCTCCTAGTATAAGGGAGGTGGTAGTCTCTTCTAATCCCTCATAAAATGTGATGATGGTTAATGTCCTGCTGTTGGAAATGCTCTTTATGTCACTGGAGTTGTAGAGTATTAGCTGAATAACAGCATGCAGTCGTATGTTAGTACCCGTGAATAGCCCTCCTCTTTCTCTGCATGGAAGGATGTTTTCCAACAATTCGGTGACAAAGGCCATGGCTCTTGGGCTCCCTTTGCCTTCCCAACTTTCACCGGTGACCATGGAAAAAAGCAAACACCTGCACCCAGCATATCGTTGCCAGTAACCTCCTGCATGCCATGGCTAATGCTCTGGGTGAAGGTGCTCATGCCGTGTCTATCTGTGGAGGCATGTGGGTGCTGGTGGGAGTGCCCTTGGGAGGTCCCCAGGTCAACCTCTGCCCAGAGCAGGACCTTTGCCAGGTCTGSGAAGAGGGGAGGTTCTTCTGGTAGAGGTGTGTTTCAAAGAGAAGAGGTAAAATTTCAAAGGAAAGAGAAAATGGAAGTAGCACAGGTCAATCTGAAGATGACTGAATGATATGTTGCCACTATGGAGAAAGTCAGCTGTGCTTATATCCTCTTGGTCTGTACAATCCTGATGGGAAGGGTCAGAATTAAGGTGAAATGTGTAGTATGGGCCAGCAAGAAAGGTGATATGAAATTGGCCACATACTTTAACTGCAAGTTTGCGAASGCTGCTGAAGTCCTAGTCCATCGCCAGTGTCTGCCCGAGTCTTTGCTTTGCTGTGGTCTCCCAGAGCAGCTACTAAGCAGCATTTATTGGCTTCTATTAAAGAATCCATAGGGGAGGGGGCTGTGGGTATTGTGGAGCCTATATGGCATCTCAATTGCCAAGTGTGGCAAAGGAGGTGAGAAATAAAGAGTTAAATATTTCAGATCATCCAGCTGCTAGGGAGATTGTGCATGGCAAAATACTGCATATAGTCTGGCTGGATCACAGATACTGGCCCTTTGGGCTTATTTGCAAAGAGACTGCTGCAGAGGAGAATCTTTACTCTCCCTTTTTTGCAAAACTTTCTGAATTTCGGAAAACTGTTCAATTTCTGTTGAAGCGTGTGGATTTGTAGCTCTGCTCATGATTGAGGCTGGCAGAAACATGAATCAGGAGGCTGGCCCTGGAAGATGCCTGTGCTGTAAAAGCTGTTGTGAACCTTTCCCAGGGCCAGGAATGATCCTCCTGGATGTTCCTGTTGATGCACATGGCACTCAGAAAGGAATCTAGCTTCCTGTGAGCTTTAGGAGAGGTGCAAGGGACCATGTCCCGTCCTCTGCTCACTTGAGGGCATAGACTGCAGGGAAGTGGAGATCTTGTGTTCACAGAGATGCTGTTTTTCTCTGTTTGTTGCCTTCTTTCCTCTCTAAAACTGCTTGTTTCTGGTTCGTTGTATAGCTCTGTGTTTTGCTGCACCTTCCAAGGCCACCGTCAGATGGTGCACAATATCCTCACCGGAACAGAAGAAATGCAATGACCTGAAGGAGCGCATGCAACAAGAGAGCCCCGGGCTGGCTTGTGTGCAGAAAACCACCTACTTTGACTGCATAACGGCCATTGCGGTGAGTGGCCAGCAAAAACCTGCAGTGGGTGCTGAGGATTTTCAGCCTTCACCCCTTGGTGAATGTTCCCCTGAGTCAATGGTCATTACCTGCAACTCTGCTATAGAGAGGAGTCACCCACAGRGATCTGAGGAGGCTGGCATTTTCCCTTATGCTCTTTCCTTAGCATCTTAAATCTGTTTGTTTGTTCGTTTAGAGAAATGAAACAGATGCTCTGAGCCTGGATGGCGGTCACATTTATGACGCAGGCCTCAGCCCCTACAACCTGAAGCCCATTGCTGCTGAGGTCTATGAAGGAAGTAAAGGTGGGTTTTCATGCAGCGTGTGTATGCCGAGCGGTGCTCAGAGGCCCTTCCTTCCCATACTGTGGTTTCTTCTGGGTGTCTCACCAAGTGCCCCCTACTTCCAAATCCCAGAGGAAAAGTGAAGGGGGCYGATCACGCCAAAATTATGACTGCTCTGCTGCCACTCATGGCCTCAGGGCCACTGCAATGGGAAGTGGCTCTGTTGAAAGTCATGGATCACATAGTGATGCCAAGGCCATGGAAGGGGAGCCACAAACAGAAAAAGTGGCATAAAAACCGTGCTGAAGAGAACCCAGAGATCTTTTGCTTTCAGGGACCTTGAACAATGTTGATGATAAACCAAGGTAGGTGGAGAAACTGCATCTTCCTACAAATAGCCCTCAAGATAAAGGAGATTAAAGAATGATAACAGCATTGCAATTACTGCCTATGGAGGGATATGTAGTTGAGCTGACTAAGGCAAAAGGACCAGGCAATGCATGGAAAAATGAAGAGCAGCAGAAAGATAAATGAAATTATGGAGCAATCCCATTTGTTACGAGTTATCTCTGATGCTTCATGCCCGCCCAATCTCTGTACTGCCTCACCTCACTCCTGTGCTTCTCCTGGGAGCGRGATGGACACTATTTCTCCATTTTTGTCATTATTGCCTCATACAGCCCCACCACATCCAAGCTGTGAATCTCTTTGGGAAGAACCCTCTCCCCCGGAGTTTGCCCTGTTTGTGTACATGGTTCAGGATCAAAGAAACACAACAGGGTTATTCACAGCRTGATTCTTAGCAAATACTAATACTAAATTCCAGGCTGTCTCTAGGACCCCTAAAACTCAGTCACTTTATCCACACGTAATATTCAATGGATTTGATAAAATTTTAAAGACTAAATATGGAATTCCAGGATTGCAGGGCTTGTGTCTGTGCCTCAGTGGGCAGTGGCATTGGAAAGCAGATTTGCCAAAAGACCTGCCGACATGAATGTCTAATGCCTGTCCAGGATTTTGCATGAGTATTTTGCATGTGATAGCATTTTCAGGTCACCTTCCACTACAAATTATAACGGAGTTTTGTCACCAGTTCAGTATTGCAGTGTAACATAGCCCCAGCAAAACCACAAGTGTTCAAGAGGCTTTTGATAGTRCAGCATTTTATTCCCTGAGATTGAGGGTTTGGTGAATATTAAAATCCGGCTTTCAAATGTTCMGCATTCCTACCTTTTCAGTGCTTTCCTCCTTGTATTACAGGACCCACAACCTACTACTACGCTGTGGCCGTCGTGAAGAAAGGAACAGGCTTCACAATAAATGACCTGAAAGGCAAGACTTCCTGCCACACAGGCTTGGGCAAGTCCGCTGGCTGGATTATTCCCATTGGGACACTTGTCCGCCGGGGGGACATTCCATGGGATGGCATAGACTCTGGCTCCATTGAGCAAGGTGAGGTGGGGACGATGAGGTGATGTTAAAAAAAACGGGATGAGGTTGAAAGCAGTGGTGGTGGGGAGGTGAAAGTGGTGTTGCCTGAACTTCTGCAGAGATGCGGTGGAGATGTAGAAAGCATTAACATTCCCTATCTTGCTTTTTCTCCTCTGCCTCCTCCATCCCAAGTATACCAGGAGCACCTTCATTCAGGAATCTCATCCTATCCCCAAGCACAGAAGCTCACTGTGCTGCACATGGTTGTTTGCTAAGCAGTTAATGATCTACCCTGCCACGTACTCCAGGAGGGGAGGATCAAATCAGTAAAAGAGTCAACCCCATTATGGAGCTGAGATCCTTCACCTAAGGCACGCCTTCCCATCACAGACCCTCCCAGCTTCTTGTAAAACTGATTTTTCAAGTAAAAATGGTGTGTTTCTCTTCCACAGAGGCGGCCAAATTTTTCACGGGCAGCTGCGTGCCTGGAGCCACTGAAAAAGGCCTGTGCCGTCAGTGCAAGGGGGACCCTAAAACCAAATGCGGCCGCTCATCACTGTACGCAGGATATTCTGGAGCTTTTCTGTGAGTGAAAGTTATTTTTCTTTGTGGAAATATCCTTGCCTTTACACATACAAGTTTTCATTATCTTGGGCACTGCTGTGCCGCAGCTGGGGACCCTGATGAGAATGAATTTCTACAACAGCCGGGACTCTTGGTAATGGAAGATTCATTTAAAAAATATAGTAAATGGAGGCTTGAAGTTCCAGTAGGTAGTTGTGAGATCAAAGAGGGAGCTGGGTTGTATGATTTCATTTGGATTATTAAGAACATATTGCATTTTGCTAAGTCCAACTGGGTGCCTTATGAATTACTTCTCTGCCTTTACATTTCCTCCTCCACTAGTATAGATTTGGGGGACAACGACTGCTCTGTGGTTGGAGACTGCGTCARAATAGCTTGCTGAAACAGGAGATGGGGAACCACAATGTGTGTTTCTTTTAACGTCTCTTCTGCTTCCTCCCACCTGCAGTTGTCTGAAAGATGGAAATGGAGAAGTAGCTTTTGTGAAACACACAACTGTTGAAGGTAGACTTGTTTGATCACTCTTGTTTTTCTTCCCTAGTCCAACCTCTTGCTGCTACTCCGTCCTGTAATTTAGTCTGTACTGTGCCCAACTTCATTCTCCTCCATRTTTTACCCAAACCTCTTCCCCATTTATTTCTAGAAACACCAGGTTCATTAGATCATCCTTGTTCTTCAAAAATATGACTGTGGTGGGRTGTCACTCAGATGGCCCTTCTTTGAAGAATGAAAACCTGGAAGTTGCCTTCTTGGTTTAAATTCAACGATGTAATTTGTGCCATATTACAGAGACAGCTGTAGTGTTTGCACTGTAATGGCAGGATGAGCAATTGCATAGATGATTACCCACTCTTCCTAGACCCATCCGGTCTTCTGRGAGAGAGGTTTGTAGGGAATTTAGCCTACAGAAATAATTCACTATCTTKGCACCTTTCATGGAGGGAAGGTGGCTTTGCTTAGAGCACTTCCTGGCGCTCAGGAGAGCTTCAGTGAGTTCAGTGGAGGGCCTTCAAGATGGTCAAGGGACAGGAACGCTTATCCTGGAGAAGAGGCTGAGGGAAAYGGGATTGTTCAGTTTGAACAAGAAATGACTTTGTGGGGGATATCATAGCAGCCTCTCAGTACCTACGAGAAGGCTTCCAAGAAGATGGAGCCAAGATCTTTACAAAGAGAAGACGAGAAACAACAGTCATAAACTGAAACAAGAGAGGCTCAGACCAGACACAAAGATTTTTTTTCCCATGAATCAAGCAGTGGGGCAGGTTGCCTGGGTTAGCTGTGCAGTCTCCYTAGCTGAGATTTTTCTGTCTGCTTTACCTTCATATGGCTGTGATGATCCATCTCTCCTAGCATCCACACACTGCTCTTGCAAAGGAGGTGTGGGAGCTGTCAAACGAGAAGAATTTGTCTTTCCTCTAGGCTTCATCAGGAAAAAAAAAAAAGCTGCCTGAGATTGTTTCTTTTTGATATTGCAACTTGTGGTTTCTCCCTTTAGAAAACGCTGCAGACGAGAAGGATAAGTATGAACTGCTGTGTTTGGATGGCACCAGGCAGCCCGTGGACAACTATAAAACCTGCCACTGGGCCAGGGTCCCTGGTCATGCTGTCGTGGCTCGAGATGATGGCAAGGCTGAAGAAATCTGGACTTTCCTCTCAAAAGCACAGGTAGCACAGAGATTTCATTTTCTTATTCTAGCAACCCCTATTCTGTCCACCATTTGGGTCAGTTTCTCCAGCTTTCTAAGCATTTTGGTGTCATCATTTACTGATTGTTTTCCCTCTATGACAGGAAAAATTTGGCGTTGGCACAACCAGTGACTTCCATCTCTTTGGGACACCTGATAAGAGTGACCCATACCACAAAGACTTGCTTTTTAAGAATTCTGCCATATCRTTGAAGAAAATCCCAACGCTGATGGATACCCAGCTCTATCTAGGCTTTGAGTACTACAGCGCCATTCAGAACCTCAAGAAAGGTAGGCAGGACATGGGCCACAGCTATGACCATAATAAACTGGATAGCATCAAGGGAAACTGCAATGAATGCGGTAGCGGATGTATGAATTCCGTAAAAACTTGTCCCTGACGCTGTGTTTCTTCAGGCTGTCCAAGCTCTCCCAATAGCGTTCTCCCTGACATTCCTCACCTGCATAATCCTAATGGTCTTCTCCTTCAGTCAGTGGGCGGCATCCCCTCTGAGGACATCTCTGCACAATGAGTAGTTCYGAAAAAGCTTTGGGATGCCCCCTGTTTCCCTCACAAATTGCCTGGATGCAGTCAGTTGGCCAGGAAGTGTTTGCAGAAGATATTTGGGGAAGAGATCGGCAAACTTGCCAAGGGGAAAGAATGTGATTTTCTCAAATGTATTTGGTGCTGAGTGTTCTTGGCAATCAGTATTCAATATTCTGTATTTCCTATGAAAAAATATATTTGCCTGTGTGGTTAGTAGGGTCRAAACTGATACGGTCAGAACTGCTGCTCAGAAAAGGCATTTCTGGGATATAAGTGCACAGGAGTGGAAGGAAGATCGCAGGCCATGAGGCCCAGATCTTGCTCTTTGAAGGAAATAGTGCCCTTTATTTCCATCTAGACTCATACAGTATTTACTGACATCCTGGCATTCTGGGAAGCAAACATCCTATTACTGACATTTTTGTGCATTCACAAAGCACAGTTTTGCAGACACTTCTGTAGTAGACTCAACCTCTATGGTGTTCGTGGAAGGAGACACTTAAACTTCATGTGGAATCCAAACTGATGTGGAATAATCCAAGATTATTCAAATGCAGCTTCACAGAAACGTAACTGAAATGTGTTTTTCCAAACTGGTCTTGACTCTCATAGCTGTCTGGGCTGTGAGATCTTTAGGAAAGCTGAATATATGACAATTATCAACACAAAGTACTACCAGGGCTTAGTGATTCAGTCTTTATGATGTCTCGGCTGACACAAATCTGAGCAAAAGATCACGTGAAGTCCTTTCTAACCAGTAGTTTGGAGTTGTTTTTTGAKCATTTTTCAGCTTAAGATTCTGCTAATAATTCTGGTTTAAGAGTCTGCTAAAGATTCTGGGTTTTGCTAATGAATCACCTTTACACAGACCTTCTGCTCAGGCTAGTCCAGAACTTAGTAAACAAGATCCTTTTGCCCTGGGTAGTGGTAGGTTTGTGTGTTGAGACAGCTTGAGGTGTGAGTCCTGCACCTGAGTTGATAGCTTTCTTGTGTAGCAGAGCATGGGGCTTATTCCTTCTTTCTCTGCTGTTTATTTTTTTACAGATCTGATGTCTTCTAGCTCCAAGAAAAGAAAGATTCAGTGGTGTGCAGTGGGTAAGGAAGAGAAGACCAAGTGTGACCGCTGGAGTGTGGTGAGCAACGGAGAGGTGGAGTGTGCTGTGGGGGAAACCACCAAGGACTGCATTGTTAAGATCATGGTAAGGCYTTTTTTTCCATTTTCTTCTCCCTGTGACCCTTTCATATAGCCCCTTCATTCACAGCAGTGTTGCTTCTTTCATTCTGGAAATAAATTTTATGGGGAATATTAAAATGAAATGGTGAGGGAAAGGGGAATTGCTAGAAGCACCTGTAGGTAGAAACCAACCTCATCATCGGGAAGATGCTTTTGGATTAGTTTGTSGACTATTAACATTTTGGAAAAAAAATATAGTTAGAAATCTCTTTCTTTGATGTTTTCAAAATAAAAATTATTTTCTGATCCAGCTGCCAGTGCAGAYGGTCTCGTCTTGGAAGCTATGGATATTGCCTCAGTCAGAGAGGTACCATGGCCYTTCTAGAAGAGGAATGGTTCCAGAGTATATCCGAGAGTGCTAGGTGGTAATCGGGTCTTGGTATTTATATAGCCCAAAATTCAAACTCCAAAGGTGAGGTCAGATAAGCTTTTGTCAATGAAACAGGCTAGGGGAGGCATATAGAGTGCCTGGGCAGGAGAACTGCTCTGATGGTGATGGCTACAAACACACAGGAATGATAATTTCCTAAGTCCCTCCTTTTGTGTCTTCTGTTGTGTGCTGAGGAATGGCCATCTCAAACTTCAGAAAGCGAGCAAGTGCTTTCTTTTATGATCCAATTTTTGGAAAGAGCTGGTCTGGGTAAACATAGCATCATCTCATCAGTGGGTGGTTTTCATTGCAGAAAGGTGAAGCAGATGCTATCAGCGTGGATGGAGGTTTTGTCTACACAGGTGGAGCGTGTGGCTTGGTGCCAGTGATGGGAGAAAACTATGAGGGTAAGTACAGCCCAGAGGGGCCATTGGGCTCCAGGTGGTGGTGAATGCACTGGTGCAAAAGCAGTGGTTCTATTCCAAAATCTAGGAAGCAGCCTTGGAAGCGCATGGCACACTAAGGCCGCTCTGCTGGCCGCATGCCTTGCCTCTCAATGCCAGCACTGAAATTTCCCTAAGCATGAGAGAGAAAAATCATATCCAGCATCTTAAATCAGGCACTCTAAATGCTGTGTCTTCTTCATTTTAATCGTGATGCCCCTTTCCTTCAGCACTAGTCTCTATCTGTAGTTGTAGTAGCTTGGAGGAATGGACGGAGGCTTTACTTCATTCTATTAACACCCTAGGTACCAGCTTCRATAGTCTTCCAGATGAAGTTTCGTAGCAATTAGTGAGCTTGATTCAGTTTTGTATTTGCTATGTATTTTTCTTTCCTAAAATCTTTTTTCCTTTTTCCCTCAGATGATCAATGCAGCAGAGCAGGAGAACCAGGTAATTACTGCCAACAACGCAACAGGAAACTGYCCTAATGGATTTAAGTTGAGGAAAAAATGACATATACATGTAGCCGGGGGTTGAGACTAAGCAGTCAATGCATGAAGAGTCTAGTAAGATCACAGTGTCCCAAATAGTTAAAAATCTGGAAGGCAAATTAACGAGTCGAACACAAAGTCTGGATCTGAGAGCAGATATCAAGGTAGAGCACGTGGTGGTGGCAGAGGTGGTTTGTGCTGCTATCAGCTTAGCTGGTGCTGTCTGGAGCATGGTCATGCCATGATGTTGGTGGGCCTGGGCTATAGCACCTGGAAGCTGTTTTTATAGAAATGGAAACACGGGGAGGAGGGAAGGTTACGGCATTTGTTAAGGAGTGGAAAATGGGTGGCAAGTTATTTATAAGTACAAAGTGACACCGTGATGGTGCTAAGTGGAACCCGTGCTCCCCTAAGGGATCTCGAGGATCTGCCCTGGTTCAGCTGCCAACCTCCCGTTTCATTATCTCCCCTCTTGCCCCTGAAAAGCCTCTTACTTTGCTGTGGCTGTGGTGAAGAAATCCAACCCGAGTATTACGTGGAACAACCTGAAGGGCAAGAAGTCCTGCCACACGGCCGTTGGGAGGACGGCCGGCTGGAACATCCCCATGGGCTTGATTCACAACAAAACGGGCAACTGCAATTTCGGTGAGTCACGTCTGACGTCCGTAGCCCAGGGACGCGCCTGCCTCCGGGTTTAAGAGCAAAAAGGTCTTCCCACCATTGCCATCTGGCTCTCAGAGTTCCTCGTGACTCGGTGATTGTAGCTTGGAGATGGGAAAGGAAGAAGCGAGGCTTTGGCGAGCAAAGTTTCAGATGGGTAGTGGCTAGATATGGCACCGAGGCTGCCGAGTTTTGGTCCAGCCAATAAATAGATAGATAGATAAATAAATAAATAAATAAATAGAAAGAGAAATCAGTTCAAGAGAACTCCAAAGTCCAAGTCCAAGAGAACTCCAAGAGAAATCAAACATATATTTATTAAAAGGAAATGTCTGTCTTCAAGAACAACTGGTGTTAGTGAATAAGTAAATTTCAGACTCAATCCCTTCATCCTCCTCTGAAATCCCACCTGTTTTTTCCCCCACTGTTCTTTTTTTCTCCCCCACATCACTGGTGTTGCTGCCAAATGCAGTTTTGCCTCCTCCTAACGGCCGAGGAGGTTTGGGTTGGCCTTGCACGAGCTGAAAACATCTTGCAGAGAAAAAAATATGTTCTTTTTATATCTCAAGATAGGGACTCCTGCAGCGGATGCAGCATAAAGCTTCACCGCGTGATGTTTGAGGCTCACGGAGGCTCAGAGGAAAGCAGGTGCTTTTCAGGTGGAAAAAACACGCGCTGAAATTCTTGTATTTCTCATGTTCTTCACTTCAGAGGAATACTTCAGCGCGAGCTGCGCTCCAGGGTCTGCTCCTGGCTCCCGCCTCTGCAAGCTCTGCAAGGGCTCAGGTGGGATGCGGCCGGAGAAGTGTGTGGCCAGCAGCCATGAGAAATACTACGGCTATACTGGAGCTTTCCGGTAGGTGGTGCAAATATCCGGGCTGCTCTGGATTTCCATCAAAAAATGCCTCCACCAGAGGCTTCCTGTTAAGTAAAATTGGTCTCGCCTGCAGTAAAATGAACCCTCCTGTAAAATGTAAAGAGGGAAGTGAGAGGTCAACCCCAATTCCATCTCCTGTGTGTCCTTCACGTGACGATGCAAGTCTAAGTAATTCAGACTGGACATGRATTTTAAAGGAAAATAACTCTTGTTTCATTTATATTTAGTGGGAAAGAGATCCCTGCTGCTTGGATTCAGCAGCTACACGGCTTAATTTGCTTTGTGCTTTGCAGGTGCCTTGTCGAGGAAGGCGATGTGGCCTTCATTAAGCATTCAATCGTGGAGGAGAACACTAATGGTAAGTGGTTCCTCTGTCACCAGGGAGAAGCTGGAAGGAAAAACAAGGCAGGCGGCCAAACCAGCCCCTAGTTCTGTTTCTCCGTTTTCATCATCATCATCATTATTATTATTATTATTATTACTTTTTGTGGGGTCAGTCAGACTCCTGTCCCAACACCTCTGTGCAGTCCTGCATGAATCTGCGTGACCCAGCAGTGACTGATGCTTTCAAAGCAACATTGGAAAGGAAAACATAAGCTTTTTTAATACACTTGAYTATTAAGGAAGGACGTGTGAATAAGTCTTGCAGCTGCTCTGAGAGTCCAAATTATCCCACTGATTTTTTTTCTGTATTTTACTTAAAGCTCTTCTGTACATGTAGGGTATCCAGGTGTCAGTGTGTTTATGTGGAATGAAAAAAATGCCTTGATTGGGTGCTGTGAGGCCGAGATGTTTCTGCTAGGGGAGATACCTGAATCTCCAATTCTCTTTGAAGGCAAAAATAAAGAGCCTTGGGCCAAAGATCTGACCATGGACCAATTTGAGCTGCTGTGCCTTGATGGGAGGAGGGCAAATGTCATGGATTACAGAACCTGCCACCTGGCAAAAGTTCCTACCCATGCTGTGATCTCGCGTCCTGAGAAAGCGAGTGAAATACGTGATCTGCTGAAGAGACAGGAGGTTGGTACTGGCTGCAGGATAAATGTCCTCAGTTGGCTTGTGTGCTGCATGGTGGTGTTTTTTTACGGGAGTGATGCTCTGAGTTCCTCTGAGTCGGTGAAACATGAAAGATTTTGTCTTATGGATGCAGAGTCACAGCTCTGCACCTCTGTATCCCTCGGCTGTCTCCTCCTTCCATCCTCTCAGACTTGTTCTTCCTTCATTGCCACCTTAACAAGTGCCCATAGGTAAAAACAAGATGAGCTCCAGCATGAGGGGCTGCTAGGAGACCCTTGGAAAGTTGGCATCTCTTGATGCCTCCTCTTTCTGGAGCTTGACTTAGGGCTTCATGCTGAAGCCCCATGACCTAGGCTTGTACCAGGCTGATCCTGAGTTCCTTTCTGCTTTTTCTCCGTGCCTTTATTTCAGAAATTGTTTGGAGAAAAGGGAAGCGACAAAGACCGCTTCATGATGTTTAAGTCTCAGACCAAGGATCTTCTGTTCAAAGACTTGACCAAGTGCCTGGTTGAACTGCAAGAGGGAATAACGTACCAGGAATTCCTGGGAGACCAGTACTACGCTTCGGTCGCCAGCCTCAATACGTGCAATCCATCAGGTAAGGGCGACATCCCTTGGAAGACGTCAGTGAAACGCAGCTCTTAGCCTCGCAGCTGTGGACAGTGGCTTGTCCCACCAGGACATGTTCYGTAGGCACCTCAAACGAGTGAGAAAGCACCAGCTTGTGCTTCCCACTCCCGGCCCACAGATTTGCCAGGAATGGGCGGGTTTTTTTGCTGGGTACACTGGGTACCTTTCCCATGGCCTGATGTTGTCCCCATGGTGGCAGCCCCACCACATCTGCTGGTGGGACAGGGTTGTTTGTCCCCAGTATAAGGGGCATGTGGAGCTTCTAGAGAGGGTCCAGTGGAGAGCGACAAAGATGGTTAAGRGACTGGAACATCTCTCGTGTGAGGAGAGACTGAGTGAGCTGGGCCTGTTCAGCTTGGAGAAGAGAAGGCTGAGAGGGGATCTGATTGATATATGTATAAGTTCATGAAGGAAGAATGCAGGGAGGAAGGGGCCAAGCTCTTCTCAGTGGTGGCCAGTGACAGGACACGGGGCAGTGGGTACAAGTTGAAACCCAGGCAGTTCCATCTCCAGGTGAGGAGGAACCTCTGCACTGTGAGGGTGCCGGAGCCCTGGCACAGGCTGCCCAGGGAGGCTGTGGAGTCTCCTTCTCTGGTGGTCTCCAAACCYGCCTGGATGCGACCGGGTGCCCCGTGCTCCGGGTGTCCCTGCTGGAGCAGGGGGTTGGACTAGATGATCTCTAGGGGTCYCTTCCACCCTCCACCCTTGTGTGTGTGACTCCGTGTGTGTTCCCAGCTCAACAGAGCCCCGGGGCAGCTCTGAGCTCCCTCCTTCCCTCCCCTTCCCCAGATCTCCTCCAGGTGTGCACCTTCCTCCAAGACTTGTAGTGGGATGCGGCGACGGGCCCCAGAGGAYGGGGCAGGGAGCCCCGCACCGCTCCGCCGCCCCCCGCAGCCCTGCCAACGTGTCCGACGGTGACCGYGCACAGCCTCCGCGCACGGCTGCCCACACGGAGAAAATAAACAATATCTTAAAGCCTAAACAACATTCCTGAGGGTTTTTGTTTGCTTGTTTGTTTAATAAAAGTGAATCCGAGCGGCCACGATGGAGTGCGGGGGCAGCCCAGGAGCTGGGGCTCCCATGGGCCTTCATAGGGCAACACGCGTGGAACTACAACTCCCATGGGGCTATGCGCGGTGAACACCCCCCCCCCGGAACTACAACTCCCATGGGGCTATGCGCGGTGAACCCCCCCCCCCGGAACTACAACTCCCATGAGGCGATGCGCGATGAACCCCCCCCCCCGGACTACACCTCCAATGGGGCTCCGCGTGGTTAACCCCCCCCCACTCCGAGGAACTACAACTCCCATGGGGCTATGCGCGGTGACACTCTGGGAACCACAGCTCCCATGAGGCGATGCGCGATGACCGTCCCCCCCCACCCCTACGCGGACTACAACTCCCATGGGGCTCCGCGTGGCGGCCCCGTCTCGGAACTACAACTCCCATGGTGCTCCGCGCGGGCTCGCGCAGCTCCCGGTAGGCGGCGGCGCGCGGCGGCCACGCAGCGCGCGCGGGCGGCCATGGCGGCGGGCGGGCTGGAGCGCTACCTGGACTCGCTGCGGCGCGAGCTGCGCGCCCCGGACCCCGCCGTGCTCTCCGTGCTCGCCGCGCTGCTCGCCGTGGCCCTCACGCTGCGTGAGTGCGGGGCCGGGGGGAGGGAGGCCGCGCGCGGCCCCGGCGGCGGCCTCAGCGCGCTCCCGTCTCCCCGCAGTGATCTGGCGGCTGCTGCCGGGCCGGAGCGGCGGCCGGCGGGCGGTGCTGCTGCTCGGCCTCTGCGACGCGGGCAAGACGCTGCTCTTCGCCAGGGTGAGCGCCTGGGGCCCCCCCGGGACACGCGCAAACCCCGCGTGGAAACGCGCTTTGTTCCCGTTCCTGCCGGCCCCAAAACGCCTGGCAGAAACAATCCTTTTATCAACGTGCTGATATCCCCGTGTTCTAAGCAAATATTCGGAGCCCGTTGCAGCTCGCAGGCTGAACCGCAGGCTCCAGAGCTCCCTCCTCCTCCCAGCACCTGCTTTTTATTTTATTCTTTATTTTTCCCCCCGGGGCAGCTGCTGACGGGCCGGTACCGCGCCACGCAGACCTCCATAACGGACAGCTCGGCCGCGTACCGCGCGAGCGGCGACAAGGTGAGCGGCGCGGCCGAGCTGCACGGCCCCCGGCCGGCTGCACCCACGTCTCCCCTGCTCGGAAACAGGGCCTCGCTTGCAGGGAAATATTCCCTATAAAGTCTAGGGAAAAACCGGGACGGGTTAGAGGTTCCTGGCTGGGCAAGTTTTTCTTAGCAGAGTGAAGAAGCTCCGTGGGAACAAGGGTTTGGAGCAGGAGGGAGCTGATATGAGGGGGCGGCTCCATCCTCACGTTCTCCTCGTTGCCTTGGCAGGGATTTCTGTCGCTCCCAAGAAAATCCGTGTTTAAAAGCTTAAGCAGGCTTGAAAAGACTCTCCAGCTGAGCCCCAAGTGATTCCCAGAATGCATGGGATTATTTTCTGTTTCTGTCCTGTGTCACCAACCCCCTTATTTCCAGTTTCTTGTTATTTTCAGTTTCTAGCTAGATTTAGAAGYGTTTCTTTTCCTGTTGCTGGTTGAATATGTAGAGAGAGAGACTGGCAAGTTGGCGGCACATCAAGTACCTGTGAAGAGAGGGAGCTGCAGGGTGGAGGATGTCACATCTGGGCGCTCTTTGGTGACAGCAGCAATAATAGGTKTAAAAGTAGCAAAATGAAGCAAGTGGCACTTTTTATTGGTGCTTCTTTAAGAGTGAGCAGAGGGGAAATACTCCAAGGGGGAGCACTGGGAGGTGGCAAATGGGACTGTTGCTTTTGTGCCTCCTCCAGAGCCCCTGGGGTGGCATCGGCAGCGATGACGTGGCCCTGCCTGGCCCTCTGGTGACCAGAGCTCTGTGTGTGGATTTTGTTTCAATGCCACCGCTTTGGCAGCCTGTGCAAAGAGGGTTTCACAGCTCTCGATTCCAAAGGGGCAGGTGCTCAAAGGACGACCTGGTTCTGTTTTTCACTCTAGTTGTGTGGTTTTTGACTCTAGTTCTTGTAGCTCTGCTGGCTGGGTTTGCCTGTGAATGTCACTTCTCAGCATTTCTTTTGCCTATCAAAGTCATTTGGGCTGGGGGAGGGACTGCACTTTGGGGACAATCAGGAGTTTCTGGCCTTGTGCACAGGCATCGCTAGGTCTTTGCCGATATCTTCTTTCCTCCTGCCTCCAGGGTGCGAACGTGACCTTGATAGACCTTCCGGGCCACGAGAGTTTACGGCTTCAGTTCTTGGAGAGGTTCAAGGCTGCCGCCAGGTAACTTGGAGGGGGTTTGGTGACAAAGCAGGTGAGGTTGTGACGTGCTGAGCCCTGCAGGTTACCGAGTGAGGGCTGGAAATGGTGCTGGGGTGTCTGGTGATTATGGATCTTGTGGCCCAGGCACTTTTCCCTTCTTCCTCACAGAGCACTCGTGTTTGTGGTGGACAGCGTGGCCTTCCAGCGGGAGGTGAAGGACGTGGCCGAGTTCCTCTACCAGGTCCTGGTCGATAGCACCGTGCTCAAGAACGCGCCCGCGCTGCTCATCGCTTGCAACAAACAAGGTATTTGGTATTTGCTGCTCTGTGGGGTAAAGCAGGGATTCAGACATGGAGTGACAGGGGGTTCCACCCCGGCTGCCGAATTCCACAGCCAAAGGGAGGCTGCGGGAAAAGTGCAGATCCGGAGGCCAGTCAGCAGAGACCCTTCTAGGAGCTATTGGAAAAATTACTGGGTTAAGTATTTCAAAGAGCTCTGCAGATGGACAGCACTTGAAGAGCTGTGGATGTCTGCATAGGCTGAAGCAAGGCAGGAAGCTTTCTGGAAGGGAACAGCCCATGCAAAACTCTCTTGCAAAATTGTTTTCCTGAATCTGTAGGCAGCAGAAAAATGAGATTTGAGCCCCCTCTGCACACGGAGTAACCTCAGTCTTATTATCAGGGGGTTGTTTATCCTCCATGATTGCATGGAGCAGTGAGCAGGAAGMTCCAGCTCCTGAAAAGGGCCGAATTTTCAAATATTGGCAGCTTTTTCKATGTCAGGATAGCTCCGTGCGTAACAATCTGAAGCTTTCTGTTAGAAGTAGGCTTTTTATTTTTCATAATTATTTCCAGTAGGCACTTGAGGAGCACMGTGGGCCTATGGGTTACAAAGCACCGTGCTGTAAAGCTGGTGTTCCAGTGTCACTTTATCCTAGTGCAGTTTCTGCACTAGGCAGCAGGGTGAGGGGGCCTTGCAGTACCTGCTGGGCTGGTTTGGGAGCCAGGGTGATGTTAAGTTGCACAATCTTTATCACTGGTCTTGTTCTGGGCAGGGCTTTCCTTGCCAAGTCTCAAGAGGGGAAACACGTTCTGAATTTTCACTTCTGAAAGCTGATTCCTCGTTTTTCTTTTCTCTTTCTAGATGTCACAATGGCAAAATCAGCCAAACTGATCCAACAGCAGCTGGAGAAGGAGCTGTAAGTGGGAGAAGGGATCTTCAACCATCTGAATGTCTCTCTCCTCTCTTTTCCTGTCTCTTCCTACTAAAGAGACAAAGAGAGCAGTGTGTTTGGTATGTGTAGGTGTACCCAGGGTGAGAGAAGACTGACCCTCTGCTAAAGCAGTAAGATCCAGTAACATTTGTGTCTGGACTGTAGGTTCAAAAAGCCTCCTGGGAGCTGTAGTTCAGGGAAATATCACTCTCTGAGCCATCCCCAGATTAAGGGATGGTTTTTGTACCCTGGGGCTCTGCGTGCTTTGAAGTGGTTGCCTTCCCAAGTGTCCGTTAGGCTTTCTGTGAGCGGCACGAGGACCAGGTTAGTTCTGCACAAGGTGCTGGCAGAGGAGACTTTGGGTACAGGCCTTGCAGGAACCTGGTGGTCACTGTCTTATCCCACCTAGGCAGGGATATTCCCTTAGGAAAACGGGTGCTGTATGATGCATTTTTAGGTTTTAAAAGCAAGCGAGGAGGAGGAGAAAGCAGAGGCAAGGAGCTCTTGGGGTTGGGAGGAGGAGCGCAGGTGGTTGGTATCTGCACAGAGGTCCTTCCCTGGGACAGCCCCGTGTTGCTGGTGGTCCCTTGGGCCGGCAGGCGGCAGCAGGAGCCCTCGCTCCTCTGACTCTTCCACACTCATGTATGGGGAGCTGATCCTCCCCTTCATGAGGGAGGAGTTGGTTGCCACATCATCAATCTCTCCAGGAGGGTAAATTTTCCTTGGTTCTGATGTTGGACATTTGCCAGTTGTTTTGCTTTAAAAATAGGATTTTTGAGTAACATATTCTGCTTGTCTTTAGGCAGATCTTAAACTAGTGCAGATCTTGAACAGCAGGGGCTGCTGCTTCCTTCCAGAGTAGGAAGGCTGGATTGGCTCAGGGAGTGGAGGAAAAAACTACATCTGGCTTGGAAGAGCTTCACTTTGGGGCAGCCTTTTGCATCCTACCAGCAGCACTGCTTCCATCCTGTGTAGGGAAGCAGAGCAGGGGCAGAGCTGCTGTCTCCCAGGCGAGTGTGGGAAATCCCATTGTGCCAGCTTGATTGGTGCCATTTGCTTCCTCTCATCCACCRGAGGATCCTGGTGGATCTCTTGCTCATGGTCCTTCTTCTCTGTCCACAGAAACACCTTGCGAGTGACCCGTTCTGCAGCCCCYACCAGTTTGGATGGCCCTGCTGCTGGGATTCCCGCCCAGCTGGGCAAGAAGGGCAAGGATTTTGACTTCTCCCAGCTGCCCATGAAGGTGGAGTTTGTGGAGTGCAGCGCCCGGGGCAGCAAGGGAGAGGATGGAGATGCTGATTTGGAGGCCCTGGAGAAATGGCTGGCCAAGATTGCTTGAGGGAGGAAGGCTGGAACGCACAGAGAGAGAGAGAGCAACATGGGGGATGGGACACTGGGAATCTGAAAGGAACAGGGAGGATTTGAAGTACTCAGATCTCTTCCCATAGAGGAAATATAAGCTGGAAACCAGTGCTGCAGTRTCCTAGCTCCTGGGCTTGGGAGCAGGGTAACATAATTGCTGCTGTGACTTCCTCCTGATGTCTGTGTTAAACTGCTACCTTCTCTTCTCCAGGATTTGGCCCTCTTTGATCCCTGGAAATCTTTGGGCTTTTAGTTCAACAGCTGCAAAGGCAAATTAGGAGGGATTACACTGCCCAAGGCAATCTTTTAATTGAACTCTGCATATCCTCCTCTGCCTCCATTTGTCACTGCAGCCTTGCTACCTCCTGGGGCTACTGATTTCTGCCTGGTTCTGCCTTCTTTCCCCAGTCTCTTGCAGGTTGGGAGCTCTGCACACATCATGTGCCCTGCGCTGGCAGGGTGCAGAGAGCAGCTTTCTGCTGGGCAGGCATCCAGCAGGGTAGAAAAGCAGATGGTTTTCCCTGCATCTCTACCCTCTCTGCTCTTCTRAACTTGTGCAGTTATTTTATGCCAAAAGCAGCCCAGCTGCTCAGCCTCTGCCCACTGCTTGTCTCTTGCTGCCGTGCCAATATCTGTGGGTCATTTCTGCTGTTGGGTGGTTCTTGAGAGCTTCTTATTAACTCGAGGCTTAAAGCCCTGAAAGTCTCTCACTCTGTTCCTCTTTCCCTCCTCTAGGTTAGGCTTTGGGACCTGCACATGTAGGCAGACTTTTCCACATTATTAGAGTTAAGAGTAGATGTTTTAACCTTAAAATGATGGGGGGAGGTCAGTCACCACAGCAGGAGCCAGGCAGTGATTGCAGACACCTTTGTGCACACGTTACCTGTGCAGAGGGAGATCTTCAGCAACACTGGTGCTGTTCAGGTGGAGTCAAGACCCTTGCATRGAGCTGGGTTGAGAGTTCAGCTTCCCCTTCCCAAATAACAGCCCGAAAGCAGATGTTTGGAGCCACCCTGCTCAGGAGCTTGTGGATGGAGGAGCTCTGATRGAGGGTCATCTCCATGCAGCACCTATGTGAGGATGGTTTCTCTTTGATGGGAATTCCAAAGTCCYTTTATATAGAAGTTATTCTTCCATTTTTTCCTGTCTGGATTGATGCTTCTTGGCTGCAAGCTGATATATTTTGCTTTTTTCCTTTCTTTCTGGACCTCTTTGACCTTCCTTTTGCATTGCCAAGCGCTACTTGTGATGGGGAAAGTGTCTCTACCCTTGTGAGCCCCATGGCTCTTCCTGGGGTGCAACTGGTTCCTTCCTCAGCAGCGGAGAGAATTGTGTTTGGGGGTGTTTGAGAGGAACCCTGCGCAAGGCTGGAGGCTGATTGATCACCAGGAGCAGATCCAAGCCCAAAGACACCTTATCCTTATGGGAGACTGGGGTGGGAGGAGGTGGTGACATTTATGACATGCTCTGTGCTTATTCCCTATAGCCGGAGGGCTGTTGGAATTTGTTTATCAGCTTTTGACCTCAGCTTAACAGGAAGCTCTTCCTGGGCCTTCTCATTTGAATCCCTAATGCTGAAGTGAGAATATTGCTGTCTCTCTGGGGTGTTAGTGTGATAGCAAAGACCTTCCTCCTCAAAAAGAAGACGCCTTTGGTAGGGAAATGCTGAAAAAGGCCATCCTTGTTTTTTAAGTTATTCTTAGTTAAAGTTATTCCCTAAATAAAACTGTTTGGCTAAAATGTGTGTGTGCTCTCAGCTCCTCCTGCTACGCTGTTCTACCKTGTCAAATCCCCGTGGGCTGAGGCTTACCCTCTGCTGCAGTGTCATGGTGGAGAATGACCTGCCTGCTTGGTGGCCAGGTCYGTGTTAATATCTGTGCCTCCACACAGGTTTTTGTTTGTTTGTTTGTTTTTTGGGGCTTTTTTTTTGTGTTTTGAAGTTCTGGTGGTGATCACTCCCCTGCAAGTTGAGCAATTCACTGATGTTCCTTTCTGGCAAAAACACCCACAGGAAAGACAGCGTGCTCCTCAACTGCTCTGTGCTGCACGTTGCAGCTTTGACCTCAACGAGGACCACATGGCAAAGGGGGCCAACACTGAGAGCAAAACACACGCAGACCCGGGCTTGGCTCAGGTGTAGTGCATCTTGCTGCGCTGCTTTATTAGTAACAGGAGACAGGATTTGGGGTCCACTGTGGGGAGCAGGTGGGCCAGGTACCTGCTAGGAGAGATGACCCTTCCAGCGTGCAGACAAACCCTGCTCCTGTGCTTGGAGAGCAGTTTGCAGGTGACCCCAATCCAACACTTCCTTCCAAAAGGAAGCACGAGTGAATAAGGAGGTACAGGAACTTTCCCCTCTCTCCCTTCCACAACATGTTACAGCAGTTCAGCTGGTGAACATCTCCATGGCCCAAATGACAGCCCCCTGTCACACATTTCTACACATTTTTGTGTGTATTTCCCCACCCCCCCCCAATATTTTACAACAAAGAAAAACAAACTCTGTAGCTGCAGTGAAGAGCCACGTTCTCCCCATGTCACCCCGTCTYCCTGTCCCAGAGGGAGTGGAAGGCAGTTGGCAGCTGCCAGCCTRGGTGGCTCTGGGCTAGCACGAGCACCTGCTTTGGCTCGCCGGGGCCTCCTGGGGCTTGTCCAGCTTGATGTCAACCACTGGGGGGACAAAGGCAGAGGAAACAGAGTTAAGGAAGGTCACGTAGGTGTTGGAGGGAAGGCAAATCATTGGGGTGCTCTTGAAATCCCGGTTTTGAGAAACATGGGAGAAACAAGAATTTTGATCAGATTCTGACCAGGTTGTTTGCTGAAGCATCCCAGGCTTCAAACCCTTGCTCTTCTCAACCATTTGGTACTATTTGGYCAACAGGGCTGAGAAATTGGGTTTAAAATGGCTTGATGGGGAAGGGGRAAAAGCTCCTGCTGAGGGTTTCTACCACATGCTTCCTGATCCCTCACCCTCTCACCATACCTTAAGGCACTAGCACGCTGGGATATCGTTTGGCAATGACCTGGTTTTGGGGATCCCAGAGGAACTGTGGGTTGGTTAGTGTCCCCTCAGTACCTACAAGCAGAAAAAAAATACCCAGCACATCCTCTTGGAGGTCACTTCCAAAACTGTTAAGGGCAGAAGGGATATCAGGAAGAGGAGGTATGGATTTACAGGGCCAACAGAAATCCTCCTCRTTGATGTTGCATGTAACACATTGATGTTACCATGCCTTTTGATACCATCTCCTGCAGCTATCAGCTCTGGAAGCTCCAGAGGCGGATGAATGGGTTGAGAGGACAGTGCAGGGCCAGGGCTGGCAACACAGAGAGGAACTCRGCCCAGGGGGCCTGTGTCATTCAGCATCTCCATCAACAGCTGTGGGCCGAGACACAGCACATCCATGGATGATACCACAGCACCGATGCGGGTACCTGGCCCGTCRGAGAGCACATTGGCCAAGATATGGGAGCACCGGATCAAGGATCTGTGTCCTCCTTCCCCACATTCCCCCCAGCCCCACTGCTACTCAGCTCCGAGGGCTTCAAGCTCTTCCCACCCTGACCTCAGCCTCGCTTTTGAGACAGGACCAAGGCGTTCCCCCATTGCTACCGCACCTTGTCCCAGCTATTCCTGACAAGGAGAGCTGGTGAGACCCAGCAGGCAGAGGAATCTGCCCCCAGGCCTGGGGCTGTACATGCTCAGAGAAGCCCTTGGCCTCCAGCTTGCTCTTGTACAAGGGAAGGGGACAAAACCCCTCCAACTCGCTTTGCAAAGCCCCGGGGAGCTGCACATGGAAGAAGCTGGAGGATTATTTTAGAAAGGATACTTCCTTCTTTGCCCTTCTCTTGGGAACTCTCCATGCCTGGCAGAGCAGAGGCCACACGCCGGAAGAGCTGCGGGAACATGGGGAAAAGGCTCCGTTTAGGCAATCCAAAGCCTAGGGACTGGCAGCCTGCTTTGTTGAGAGCCTGGCTGGCTCGGGTGCCTTGCAGGGAACGCCAACACCGCGCCGCTCAACGCAGGGCCTCGGCTGCCCGCTCCGCAGCACGGTGCCAGCCCGGGCACGGTGGGAGCCTCTCACCTGTTTCACGTTGTAGCCCGTTTTCGCACTGGTCTCGGTGAACATSACCTTCAGCTCTTTGGCTCGCTGTTCCCCTTCTTCAATCGTTATCTGCCTGAGGACACCGAGGAGGGGACAGGAGGTTAAGCCCAGTGGCATGAACGCTCCCAAAAAGGCTTTGCTACAGGAATGGAGCAAAATGTGCTGTCACCCTCCCCAGGCTTTGCTTTATTTTTTTTCCAGCCATTTTTCCAGTTGACTRGTGGCAAAAAAAGGTCCGATTTGGCAGACATGGTGCCTTCTACCTGACTCAGGCTTCCCCCACTTCAGCACATGTCCCTGGGGCCAAGCCTGTCACATCTGCTTTGTTGTCTCCCACCCGCGTCTCTCCAGGGCTTAAGCCTTGGCTTACCATCTCCAGGAGGGGTTTGTCAATTGCAGACTAGGACTAAGAAAGCCCTCATCAGCCCCAGACAGCCTCCCACCACTGGCACACCATAAACTCCCCCAAGAAGGTCCCTAACCCTTTGGCCTCAKGTTGGCCTCATTTCTACCAGGAAACTCCTGCTTGCTCCAGAGCGGCATCATGTGTGGTTGCATAAGAGCCACCTGCCTCAAGGGGCCACCTACTAGCACAAAAACGAGCCCCTCGGCACCCCCAAAGACCTGCCAGCCCCTCCGCTGAGTGGATACCCCAGRAAGAACCCTCGCAGGTGGATGCCCACCTCACCTCTTGTCCGCGAGGTCCGTCTTGTTGCCCACGAGCATGATGATGACGTCGCTTCCCCTTTCTGTCCGGACATCATCGATCCATTTGGCTGTCTGCTGGAAGGAGTTGAGATCTGTGGGAGAGGAGGCAGAACAGTGCTCAGCCCCCAGGGATGCTCCCGGGCCAGGTTTGGCACTGCTGCCTGAGCCCAGAGCTGCCAGAGAAGACACGATGGTGTCGGGGTGTCAACAGGCACCTTCCAGCCTCTCCAGAGAGCATTTTTAATGCCCACACAGCCAGCACACATACAGGGACTGCAGCCTCAGGTGCCATGGAAAAGGTCCAACTCACTTGTGATATCGTAGACGACCACGGCCACGGTGGAGTCTCGAATGTAGCTGGGGATGAGGCTTCGGAAGCGCTCCTGGCCCGCAGTGTCCCAGAGCTGCAACCGGACCTGCCAAGGGAAGGCAAGAGGGAATGAGAGACTGTCGGCAAACAGAGCAGTGGGAGAGGTCTCGAAACGCAGAAGGGGACATGTGAGAGACAGTGATGGAGGCTCAACAGGAGCTCAGGGAGATTCAGCTCCAGGTGTCCCCCTAAAACACCACCCCAACGTGCACCRTGTCCTCGGCTGTCACTCACATCCGTGGTACTTTGGGGTGAATTTGTTAATCCATCCTCAGGCTCACCGAAGGAACCACGAGGAAGGTAGACACCACACTCCCCATGACATGGGATCCCACTGCCGGCTACTCCATCCATGGGTTGTCAGTGGGTTTCTTTAGGATGGTGTTGGGTAACAGAGCCAGCACAGGCTGCACTTCTGTGCTGCTGTCCTCATTTTGCAGCTCTCCTCTCCCTGTTGTCTGCTCCCATTTCCACTACCATTTCCCAAATTACCTCCTCCTCAAACCCATCAGGAAGCTTTAAGTGGCAGCCCTGCCCTTCACAACTGTCTTCCATAACGCCTGTGAGCAGATGGGGAACAACCAAGTTCTCCTTCCTCTCTCCACGCATGCTTTTTAGGGGCAGCATGGACACAACTTGCCCCCAGGAGGTCACAGATAGGGACGGGCTCTCGTGGAGAGCTCACAGCGAGCAAAGTGGCAGTCACATCTCCTGCTACTCACCGTCCGGTCCTCCAGATACATGGTTTTTGATAAGAAGTCAATGCCRATTGTGGCCTGTAAGAGAAGAAGAGGAGAAATGAAGAGCAGGAAGAGTTGTCAAGGGGGAAATGTAGAGCTCTGCGGCTGCTTGCAGGGTACAGAGCAGCTGTGAGAGCACCTGGCCCCACGTTGCTCCTGCAACTCCGGGACATCCCTGGGGTCCTGCAGCTCCTGTCTGCTAAGGGCAACTGGAGAGAGGAAAGAGCTGGAGTTTGGGAAATGATGAGCTCAGTATCTGGCGTCAGGTCTCAGCGAGGCAGGTAACCTGGTTTCAGTGCTCAGGCGCTCGCCAGCACTCAGATGAGCATCACTTAAATGGAGCTGGTGCAGGAGGGAGCGGGAGGGAGGATGAGATCACGCCGCGGCAGGAGAAAGGGTCCCTACGTGAGGGGAAACAGGCCACACGGCCAAGTCTCAGGAGCACATTAGGTGGCTGGAAAGCAGCRGTGCCAGCCAGAGCATCCCCTTAATTGCACCGCCTTTGCCTGCGGAGAAAGGCCATTAGCAGCGGATCYCATCAGCAGGCACAGAGGAAATGGGAGGCACCGCAGGGAAATGTTCGCCTCTACTTAATGGGGGCCTTTGAAGAACGAGCATAATCTCGTTCTTTAAAGAAAAAAGCACGTCGTTTCAGGAGGGTGGTCAGCTCAGCAAAAGCTTTCCTGGGCTCAAGGGGTGACAAGCACCTGGAAATGATCCAGCGGGAGTTACTAAAGGGAAAAATYGGGCCAGGCTCAGCACGGGCTCTGCATTCCCTCTACACTGCACATGGAGCCAAAGGAACAAGGGTTTCACAGTTAAAGGGCATCAAAATGGGGGCAGCCATGCTTAGAGATGATGGAGCCTGCACAGAGCTTGCAAGGGGGCTGCGGAAGGGGAAAGAAAGGGAAAGGAGCCAATGCAGTCAGCGAAAAAGAGCTGTGGGCTCACCCAGCAGCACAGGGAGATTTTGAACAGGCAGTGGGAATACTCCCTARTCCTGCAGCAGGGTGTCCAGAGAGGCTGCGACTTCCCCATCACCTTTACTTTAGGTTCTGGTGAGAAAAACAGGTTGTCCAGAAGGGGTCAAGCAGGGCTGAAGCTGCCTTGAGCAGGGGCATTGCCTGGAGCTACTTGCTCTCCTCCTTCCTCTACTTGGGTTCCCTCTGCCCCTTGGCTGACATCCTTTCTGCTGGCCACCTCGCTGAGCTGGAGGAAAGCAGCTTCCCAAACAGGAAACCTCTCTTCTCCCCATTCTCCAGCTGCTAATCACGCTGTTCCCAGGTACAAGGACGCAAAGAAACCACAGAAAGGCCAATGGTCCCTGCGATTTTAGGGCTGGTTGAGCACTGACATGGCCTGTAGTGCACCACAAGGGAGATCTGCTTGCACAGGATGGCTGGTATGTGTGCAGGGAGGTCCTAAAGAGGTGCTGCACTCGTGCATGGTGAGGGACTGCAGCCTGCCCTGACAGCTCAGCACAGGTTTCCACCCATTTCTGGAGAAGCAGCTACACTGGAGGCCAATTCCATCTCCTCCAGAATATGGCCAGCCTGCGGTGTGGTGGAAAGTGGACCTCCAGGTGGAAATATTTTATCAAATGGTTCTGAGGCAGTAACATTCCCAGCCTGTTGGGAAGGGGAGATGCCTGAGGAGCTCACGGGTATGAAGCAGTTTGGGTTTGAGCACTACTAGAAAGAGGGAAACTCTCACCTGATAYGTGTTGTCAAAGCTGTCATACATGAACCTCGTGATCAGCGATGTCTTCCCAACTGCAAGAGAAGGAGACAGGATGAGGTGGGTAGGCCAGGAAATGGGGAAGCGCATCTGCACCTGGCAGGCTCACTGATGGCCACCCTCCAGSTATTTAGGAGGCGTTCCTCCAGGTGGAAAACATGGCCAGTGATCACAGTGCAGGTGTGAGAACAGCCCCATTCCAGCTCCAGAAGGGCAAAGCCCAGGGCTTTTCCTTGCCTCCAGCCTGCTGAAGCCTGGTAGATGGCTACCAGGTCCAGCCACCAAAGACGCTGTGCAAGACATAACCACCTTCCTCTTCCACATTCTCCAGGCCAGCACAGGAATATACGTGCACATAGGTGTATGTAGCTAGGCCAAAGAAAGCCATGGACGATGCTAGCCCAGCAAGAAGGTGGTGAGAGCTGGATTGCTATCCRGAAGGGACTAAAAACACCTGGGTAAGAAGTACTCACATGTCAGGTAACCCCTCACATGGCTGGACTTCACTGCAACAAGACATGGGCCAAAGTCAGGCTCCCTCTGTTTCCATGACCAAGAGATGCATCTCTCAACCATCAGCCTTAGGGGACACAACTAATCAAACCCTCAAAACAAAAGTCACTTGTTTGCCCCCAAAATTTGTGCATCTGTGTCAGTAAACCTCCCTAGGTAGGAAGCYTTCCCTCTCCCCAGTACATCCTCATTATATCTTGTCTGGGGTTAGAAACCCCACTTTGCACTGGCTTTTTGCCCATCTGCAGTCCCACAGCAGTGGCACGGTCTCCCTGGGGGAACACTTTGTGCCCTGGGCAGCAGTTGCTGAATCAAGCAGCGATGCGCATGCGGGAAGCCCGGCTCCTGAGCATCTAGCTGTTAATTATGGATCTGGGTGATCCAGACTAATTAAACACTCTCATTTTCCCTCGGTTGCTGGAAGGACTGYGGCCCACACGGGGGTTTGACTCAATTTCTGGTGCCCATCAGGAGGCACTGAGGCAGAGCCCTTCTTCAGGGCGCCCTGCACCAGCTCCCATCCTTGGAGCTGCACCTCCTTGGAGCTGCATCCCAACGCTTGCCTGCACCTCACCCCCTGAACACCACGGTTGCAGCTCAATGTAAGTTTGACTGTAAAAAAGAGCTCCCTGGAACAGGGACGAAGGAAGGACATGCAGCAAAATCTAAGAAAGGCAAGCAAGGGCTCACCAGCATCCCGGTATGGGGAACAAGCAGCTCACAGCCACTGGATGGACAAACTATCCCAAGTGTCTCCTTGCAAGAAGACCTCCCTGCTCATCCCACACTCACAACCAACCCACACGTGCCACTATTTTGCCAGTATTCCCTTGCGTTATTTTACTGGTCAAACAGGTGAAAATACCCAGGATTTGAGCTGCAAAGAGAAAAGCCCCRAACCAAAACACGGACTGAAGAGAAGCGGTGCCCACGTGGACGTGTGGACGAGTGGCATAGCTAGGGCAAGGCCACAATCCCCCCGGCTCGGTGTGGCCACGTCACACACGTGCTGGTGCATCAGCRCCGGGGAGGCTCTTTGCTGATCTGCTCGTCAGCTCGCCTGCTCTTTAGGAGACCTGTACCTGACCCGCAGTCCCTGTGCTCAGCCCTTCCCCACGGTGCGGAGCCAACGGAGCAAGTCAGGGCTGAAGGCAGAGCAGAACCGAGCGTGTTCTACCACCCTAGCAGCAGGACAAAACCCTCGGGCACCTCTCCACGCCGCAGCTCACACGGAAAGTCACCGCCAGGAGGTCCCTCCCAGGCTGGGGACAACGGCACACACCGCGGCAGAGCACACCAAGCACCCCAAAGCCGCTTTTCCAAAGCCTCAGAGAGGACAAAACCAGCAGAGACRGGTGACCAATCCCTTCCACCTCAACAGCTATTCATTTTAGAATATCCTGAGGTTGCTTTTCTGCCCTGCTTTCCAGCAGTTTGTCATCTGAGCTCAAACAGACCTTTAAAAAAGGATTTATTTATTTACTAACTTATTTATGTATTTCTGCGTGGTTGTTTCACGCATACTCACCGGGGCCAGCTTTGCTGTTCCCAGCAGCAGGGCTGCAGCTCTGTGCCCGGGGGCAGAGACCTCCCTCTCCGCCTCTGCCCTCCCTGCACAGCAAAATGGGTTTCACTCGGGGCCACGGGAATCGGACAGTTATGTTGTTTTCTCTTCCTTAAGGATCTTGGAATTAGGATTAGGGATTGGGAACGGATTGACCAACACAAAAACCTAAAAATCAAGGGCTACTCTTATCAGAGTCCTTAATGATCGTGAATCTTGGGTATTTAAACTCCAATCGGTCATTTTTGTCCCATCTGAAAAAGGAAGTTTCTTTTTTGGTTCCACTGAAGAAATACAATCCAGGTTGAAAACGAGGATATTGTGGATGGACGCGGAAACTTGGCAGCTAAAGTCAAGGTTTTATAACCACATCTCCAGGCTACAGCCTAAGATTTACAATCAATCTGTGAATGGGTTGGCAGGGTCACACTGCAAAACATAAAAATCATCTGCAGAAATCTTATTGCTTCCTCCACGGCTCCTGCAGACACGAGATCAAAGCCATTTGATTTGATTTTTTTTTTTTTTTTTTTTTTTTTGCCTGCTGCACCTCTAGTTTATGGTTCGCTATGTCCCTTAGCCTCTGATTCTGATCTTGCAAGCTCACGTTATGCTGTAATGCTCCTCAATATCCTACTTTCTGCTCTGGTGAAGGTCACTGCTCCAATGCTTTAACCATGGGGGCATTTCGGGGGAAGCAGAACCCCCCCAATTTTCAGGTGTCCCTTTGCTGTACGCAGCAGCGGCCCATCCTGGATGGACAACACGTCCCTAAGAAAGACAAAAAGACGGTTTGGGGCAGACAATCCACCGAGCACTGCAGGTGATTCACGCCGTGGGTCCTCCAGACTGGTCCCTCCTTGGCCCCGGCTGCTGGAGTCAACACGCGTTCCAGATGCTTAAGSTGACAGCTGGAAACGGATGGGATTTGCTTCAGGAGCCTGGGATGCAGAGGAGAAGCAAAGGGAGTTCTCATGGGGTTCAGGACAAGAGGAAACGGCCTCAAGTTGCACCAGGGGAGGTTCAGTTGGATATTAGGAAATTTTTCTATGTGGAAAGAAGTCAAGCATTGGAATAGGCTGCCCGGGGGTGCGGTGGAGTCACCGTCCCTGGGAGCATTCAAGGAACATGTGGATGAGGTAACTGGGACACGCTGCAGCGGGCGGCGTGGTGACAGGCTTGCCGTTGGCCTCAATGATCTCAAAGGTCTTTTCCAGCCACAATGATTCTACGATTCGAAGGAGGTGACACGACGGGAGAGCTGGGATGGGCAGCGCTAGGAAAGCGCAGACGCGACGAGAATGAGAGAGGGGACCGCGGGGATCAAAGGGAGCGCAGCGGGAAGAGAATGCAAAGCAGAGCTACCCTGATGTATAATTAAGAACCTTGCTGGCCTCCCTGCTGAGCAGAGCCAGCCCCGCTCCTGCAGGCGCCCTCRGACCAGCCTTGCAGGAGCCTCCAACGCAAGGCGGGGGCAGCAGGGCTGCGGATCAGGTGCTATAAAGGCACCGCTGGGACTCGCTCCTGGCCAGACAGTCCTATTTAACCATGACAGCGGAGTGAGTGCAAGGGGAAGGGTCCCTCTGTGCCTTCAGCCCAGCTCCCTCTCCGTGGGGCGGAGGAAGCCGGGTTGCCTGGGATCAGCRAGCCACGGCACTCCCCACCCGCTCCGCAGCCAGCTCTCCCAAAGGACAGAGCGTGGGACAAGCACCAAGGACTCCCAGGCTCAGAGGAATGCTACAAATGCTCCGTTGAGTTTTAGGTGGGTACCTGGTCCCCGCTTTTGGCGGCATCTTCATGGGTCTCCAAACCACCAGACACCTTTGCGAGCTGGTAGCGATCTCCTGCCCTAACGCAGCACGCAGTGCATGCTCAATCAGGAGAGCAGTGCAGAAAACACCCTTCGACCAGCAAGGCAGAGCTTTCTTCTTCATCCTTCAACCAATACGTAATGCGTTTTCTCAGCTGAAACCCACGCATTTGCAGCAAGCTGAGTCTACTTTTTCAGGAAAAAAGAATAAACAGGGAAAGAAGGTTCACCTTTTAGCAGGGGGTTTAGCAGCAAGATGCTGCTGCTCACCAGAGTCATCCAGCACGAGCACAAACGGCTGAACCTGCTGCAATTGCACCAAAAAGCAAGGAGAGGGGTGCAAAGGGGCAAAACCGGGGTGCAAAGGGGCTCCTGCTTCCCCTTCCACAGCAGCCGCTGGCCTGGAAGCGTGGCGGAAATGCCACTATAAACCAGGAGTGGGAGGAAGCAGCGTTAACCCCCTTGCAGGTTTCACCTCCTTTGCTCTGAGCAATACGAGGTGCAGGAGACAGCGGYGCCTATTCGCAGTGCTACGGACCGAAACAGCCCTTGCATTTACAAGGCACGGCGGAGGCTTGCGGCGTTTCTCCGTGGAGATTTTCACCAGCAGAAGCCAGGCTCCCAGGTGTTTTCAAGTCCCTGCGCGGCAGTAAAGTCACCTGGAGATGCTACGTGGGAGCGAAGCAGCAGAAGGCAGGGCGGGCACCGCGGGCGGCCGCCCTCGGCCCCGGCGGCGCCAGGAGTCGCTGGGCTCAGCAGCAGCGACCCGGGCACTGGGACCAAACCCGGGTGCTGCTGCAGACCCTCCACCTCCTCCCGGACATCCGCTRTCCTGGCATCCCTCATCCCACCAGTGCAAAGAGCCGCCGGCCGAAGCCCCCCACCCCTTCTCGCTGCCTTGGGGGCTGCATCAAGCCCCCCACATCTTCTGCGGCCACCGCTCAGGGCAAAGACAAGCCAGCCCTGGGGTCTCCACAGCCTGCCCTTCTCCAGCCCCACCAGGTCTCTGCCCCTCTGCAGCCCCCCTCCAGCCCARCTTGGTCCTCCCTGCCCCACTGCAGCCCACCCTGCAGCCCCACAAGCCCAGCTTGGTCCTCCCTGCCCCACTGCAGCCCACCCTGCAGCCCACCCTGCAGCCCCCTCCAGCCCAGCCTGGTCCTCCCTGCCCCACTGCAGCCCCTCCAGCCCAGCTCAGTCTGCCCTGCCCCACTGCAGCCCTCTTCCCTATCCTGGTTTGCTCCATCCTTGGGTGGATGTCTGTACCGCCCTGCAGCTCCCTGCCCCTCCCTTGCCCACCTCATCCCCACCACCTCATTGCAGCCCTCTGCCCCACTGCAGCTCTGTCCCCTTGCCCCACTGCAGCCCCCTGCCCCACTGCAGCTCCATCTCCCTGCCCCACTGCAGCCCCCCAGACCTCCTGCAGCCCCCCAGCTTGGCCTAATCCCCGTGCCCCACTGCAGCCCCCCATCCCCTCTGCCCCCTCCATCCCCGCTGCAGTCTCCCAGTCCCCTTGCCCCACGGCAGCCCCCTACTCTCACTGCAGCCCCCTGCGCTACTCAGCCCCCTGCCCCACTGCAGCCCCCCAGCCTCAATGCAGCCCCCCCGGTGCAGCTCCGTCCCCCTGCCCCACTGCAGCCCCCCGGCGCGGCTCAGCCCCCCTGCAGCCTTGCAGCCCCGCTCACCGCTCTGCTCCCCCAGGAAGACGAGCTTGAACTTGCGCAGCGGGCTGCCCAGCTCCGCTCCGGCCGACATGGTGCCGGGCCGGGCTGGCCGGGCCCGCGGGCGCGGCCGCCGCTGCGCGTGCGCGGAGCCGCGGCGCCCTGAGGGAGCGCAGCGCGCGGGTAGCGCGCCGAGGCGACACGCGTGGAAAAGTGACGTTTAATCATAAAAAACAACCACCACCACCACCACGGACACGCGCGCGAACACGCACTCGGCGATGAGGTGTTCCCCACAGGTCCTGTGCCCTGTCCCCAGCGAGATGTGGGCGGGRAGAGGGACCCGTCCCCAGCGCTTCTCCTCTCCCGCCGGGTGGGCGCGGACACGCGGACCCCAAGCAGCTCCCTGGAGAAGGGCAGAGGCCGGAGCCTTCCCGGAGAACCGCAACAGCCCAAGGTTCCTGCTGGCCTCTCCACACGTGGCGGCCGCCCCCTTGCCATGAGCCAGGGTCTGGTCGTGCCTCGCGCTGGCACCTGCCCGTGGCCAGCATGGCGAGTTCCTCACGGGCTGCCTTGTGTCTGGTGAGATCCTTATGGGCTGCCTTGTTTCTGACAAGCTCCTCATGGGCTGCCCTGTGTCTGGTGAGGTCCTCATGGGCTGCCCTGTATCTGGTGAGATCCTCATGGGCTGCCCTGTATCTGACAAGCTCCTCATGGGCTGTCCTGTATCTGGTGAGGTCCTTACGGGTTGCCCTGTATCTGGTGAGATCCTCATGGGCTGCCTTGTATCTGAGTTCTTCATGGGCTGTCCTCTGTCTGGTGAGATCCTCATGGGCTGCCCTGTATCTGGCAAGTCCCTCATGGGCTGCCCTCTGTCTGGTGAGGTCCTCATGTATCTGGCGAGTTCCTCATGGGCTGCCTCGTAACACGGGTGAGCGGCCTGCGCTGGGTTTCCACAGCCCTCCTGAAGGGTCTGTCTGGCAAGTGCYGCCTCGGGAGCCAAGATGGGGACGTTCTGCCATGGGCTCCCGAGACAGGCTGCAGTGCAAGTTGCTGTAGAGGAGGCTGGAGCTCAGCTGCTAATATGAAGTTGCTCCCTTATGAAAAGAAAGAAAAAAATAAAGACAATGGCAAAGTACTGGGAGTGGATGTGGGCAGGCTGGGCAGGCGCCGTCAGAGCCAGTCCTTGGGCAGGCTACACCAGCCCTGCTGCCTTCTCCTGCACGTTGTATTCCTTGCTCTTCTTCACTTTCCAGCTGATGAGCGCGAGCAGCACGGTGCCTATCACTTTGTATCCAACCTGCAGACCCAAGTACCTGCCAAGACAAAGGAGAAGAGTCATCATTCCTGTCAGGAACAATACAGGGCCTTGTCCTGTGCAAGGATGGCATTGCTGCTGTGCGGGCAATGGAGCCCAGCTTGTCCCATCCTGCTGGGCACTGGGTTGATTTGTGGCCTGTTCCCATTCCAGCTTCCAGTGCTGCTGTGGTGGGAAACACTGGGGCAGGATTCCCCCACAACATCAGGACATGGCCTGTGCTGTGCTTCAATGTTCAGAGCTAGACCTAGATGTATGCTGGGGACATGCGAACTGAGAGACCTGATTTGTAGTCCTCCAATTTCTGCCTTGAAAGTGATACCATGGGATGTAAATTTTCTTGGTGAGGCAAGATGGCAGGTGAACCTAACAAGGGCACACATGACTATGCAGGATGGAGCCTCAAACACCCAAGGCTAGGCCCCAGGGACTGCCTCTTAGCTAGWCCAAGAGATGATGTTGAGGAGGTGTGTGGCGCATGAGCATGGTGCATTCACCTTCCTGGGGGTATTTTGCATCCTAGAAGAACGTTTTTGAGGTTTCTACAGAAACATTGAACGTGTGCAATCAAATGTGTGTGGGCACATGTGGTGGTGACCTGGTGGAGCGAGCGCGCATGGGTACCTGTTGCGGAGGAAGTCATTGTTGTAGTAGGCACAGAACCTGCGCTGGGTGCACTGTTTCTGCCAGTAGATGCAGGAAGAGTCAATGAGGGCACCGAACATGGCTGGAGCTGGCAACCAGGCTTTGAAGAGAGGGAGAGAGGTGGGTCAGGCCACATGTCGCTGCTGACCCCCCTTCCTGTCCTGCGGAGTCATATGTCTTTGTGCTTAAATACTTCAACCCCTGGGGTCAAACCCAGCAGCTCTCAAAGCAAGCATGAAGGGCACTCYGTTCATCAGCTTCCCTTTGCCTGCTGTCCCTTTGCCTCCCTGGGAACGTTCAACATCACTTGTGGCCTGAGCAAACACTTTAGTGAGTCACCCACCACTGCCTCTTGTTTCTTGGAGACCCTTCAACACCATAAGGGAGAGATCTCAGTTGATTACTGGAGCCATGGCAAATCAGGACCTGGCCCTCACTGCCTCCCTGTGGAGGGTGGCTGTAAATGAGGGTTTGCAGCTTTTTATTGGCATGGGGAAACTTAAGGCTCAAACCTAAACCAGGTTGCACGCTACAGGAACCCACCAAATGGCCCAAGTTAATCCTACAGAAAGAGATGGCAGACCCTGAGAGTCCTCTTTTGCTTTCTCCCCATTTAGGCAGTTGCTGAAAGGTTGTGTGGGAGATGTAAAGGGAAGGACACTCACCTAACACTCTCATTAGCAAGAACTGGACTCCAATAGCAAATGACTTCTCATCTTGATTCACCACCCTGCAAGAGAGAAGTCAGGGGGGTTGAGAGCTAGCAGAAAGACGCCCTTGTCACCAAGAGTGGACAGCTGCCATGCGTGGCTTGCAGCACTGCGCTCAGGTTTCTGGGTTCACCGAGTCTAACAGGAGKCATCAGGCTTAGCTGCTTAGAACCACATTTCTCCCCAGTGACTAAGAACAGAAAAGAGCTGGAAAGCCCAGGAGAAGACACCAAATGATTCTCAGGAGAGTGAGATGAGATCAGAGAYCTTCACTGAGGAGCTCTGCTTGGAAACCCATGGAGATTTTCAGGGAAAAGTCATGAAGGCAATGAAAAATGGGGGTTTTAGCTTTTAAGAAATGTCTTGCTCAGTTTTCCCAGAAAGCTTTTCCCAGAAATTTAAATACAGAGGGCAGTGTTAATGAAAACTGGAAACACGGCACTTCTTAGAAAAATGTCATCTTAAGTAGCCAGCTTCTCAACTAGGAGTGGTGGGGGGACATTCAAAATGCGCAAACAAGAGGAGTTCCCAATTTCTACAGACCCCCTCAGCAAGTTTCCTACAAAAGGAAACTTCAAAATCCTTCCTTCAAAATCTGTTCATTTAGTGAAAAAGCCCATCTTCTCATCAGATATTTATGGCCCTGACATATTGCCTGGCTCTTGTGGCAATGCACATTCACGTTGCACACACTGTACCCTGGGCCTGGAAGAAGCGGGTAAATAGTGGATTGGAAGTGAAGGAGAAATTACTTTGGCCTGAACCTGTTACTCACCGTAAAACCATCATGTAGAGGGGGTTGTGAGACAGGCAGGCTACCAGCGCTGCAAATGAGATGAGGAATATGGCAGGAAGGAGCATGTTGGAACAGCTGAGGGGACAGGACCCGGTCTTTGCAGAGGACTGCCCRTTCACAGCAGGGATCTGGGAACAGTTCTTGTAGATCTGTTGGCAACAGTTGGAAAAATGGTAAAACTCCTGAAGTTATTCCTGTGTGTATTCACACAGGAAGTTATTCCTGTGTGAATAACTCCTGTATTCACACAGTGGGAATTCTACCACCCAATATCCCATGCTTGTCAGGTGCCACCTAAATCTCCATCCTTGATGCCTACCCAGAACCCTGGTTTTGGCAGTGCAACACTCATCTGTGTGAACTTCAAATGCAGAAGATCGTTAGGAAACACTTAGAACTGTGGCTCTTCAAAGCAACTGCATGGACAGGATAGCTCAGCTACGTGGCTGCTTCCCAGCCCTGCTACTCACCACGTGCCTGGGTGTGGAAGAATTGGAAGTGCTGTTGGTGCAGCCAGCRAAGCAGGGAGAGATGTACTCCACGTTGTTTTCTCCACATACCGGGTGGAAGATGTGCTCAGAGCAGTGGCACCCACTGGGGGACTTAACCTGCTGCTGCGAACTTGATGTACTGCCAAAAATGAGAGAATAAAATAATAATAATAATAAAATGGATAGGAGGAAAAGACGTCCTTCTCCAGACCTGTTAGTAGTTAACCCGTTTCCCCATTCCTATTTGTGCTGGGTCGCTGCCAGTGGCAGTGTGGTCTTCTGCCAGATCCCAGTCCCCTGCAGGTACCTGCAATTTACAGTGAACTTAGCAGTAATTATATTAGGTCTGCACATGAGCACTCACATGCTTCCTTTTAATTTTTTTCTTTCTCCAGCTGAAAACTAATCAGCAAATGCCTGCAGAAATGTGTCTGGGCCCTATCCAAAATGGCACGAACAGATGTGCAAAAAGSGATGTCTGGAAACCCCATTCGCTTGGAAACTGGAAGCAGGCTAGTTGCCAAACCAACCTGATGACAGAGTGAAAGTCAAGAGGACAAAACAAATTGATCTGTTTTGTCTCGCCTTACTGCTGAAGGCKATTCATTTATCCCATCTCCTATGGGAATCCAACATCAGGACCCCATCCTTGGGAATGATGGGTAGAGCCCAGGTTAATGCACTTGTGTAGCTAACAGCTACCTAGACCTCTACATGAAAGGTGTTCTCATTTAATTTAACTTCTCCCTCATTGGAAGGGGAGAGGTTTTCTGTGTGCTATGGGGTAACAGCTGGAGCTGGTCAGGGCCGTCTGGGTAACAAACTGGACTCACAGAACTTGCAGGTGTTGAATAAGAATGCTTGAGAAGATAGAGGGGGGAAAGATGCAAAAGCTGTGGTTGTAGGAAGTTGAGGGGAGCTGGCCCCACTCTTGCTTGAGCAGGGAGATTTAYTGTCAAAGCCCCTGACAAAGCCCCTGATGAGATGGAAGGGTCTGCTTGGCTGTGATCTCYGACGAGATGACCTTTCTAGGTTTGTCAGGCAGTGCTTCTGTGTTCTTGGTTTCCTTTTAGTAGTGCAAATCAGGACATCAGGAAAGGTGCAAGCACCCTTTAGTGCAACTCCTCCTCCTGG